TGTCTAATTTAATTCATAAAGTCTTTGAATCAGCAAATGCCTGAATGCTTCTCAAACGCTTTCAGTTGGTAAAGTCCTATGATATGGTAAATAAATATTGTTTACAGAAATAGCTGATCTCTAATGCAGTAGTCTATGTACTGCAGTAAATACAAGAGAGAACTGTGCATGCAGTAGCTAGTCATGGATACAATTTAACGTTGTCTTCTCCTCCCTCTCTGTTTTTTGAAGGCCTGGATGGGATGAGTTGCCATTAGCCTAACTTGAAACCCTAAAATACGGCTGTGATCTGTTTCTGAGTTTGTCATTAACCTTTACACTCACAAAATAGGTATAAACAGGCTCTCTTTCAAGCAAAAGTTAAACTTTTGCTTTCAGAGTAGCCTTAGAGATAGTCTTCTTCTCAGTGCATGACAGTAACACAAGTTGCTTTCATCAGTTTTCATCTCTTCTGCCCAGATTAGATATGACCAGAGTTTGATGATCACAGTCAACAGTGTAGTGATAACTAGCAGGCTTAGTTCATTGGCCATCTGGTATCCTTTTAGTAGTCTCTTTGAGTCTAAATCCATCTTCCTAGAATTGGCAAGAGCCTTCTCAAAATCTGTTTTCGGGTAATGGAATATTTTGTCTAGTCACTCTCACACTGGAAAAGTCTATTGTGTGGCTGAAACAGTTGTTCCAGAGTTATTTGATTTTCTGTGACTTCAGAGCTTGGATTTCTAAGGATGGAAAGCTGAAACATTTGTTGTGCCTTGCTACCTGTACAGCCACATTCCCTTCTCAATGAGAATAAATAAAAGAGTAGGTATGAATTCAGCTTCTTTTCAGACTTGGATCAATTTGGGATGAAATCGCTTGACTTTTGGTGTTCACTACAGAGGATCAATAGACTGCTGAGCTTGCTCTCCATGACTATTTAGAGGCTGGTGGTTCTAAAGCTTTGTAGTAAGCCTGAGGGAAATCTGACAAACAGCCTTACTCTTGATTACCAGCTGTTCACCTCAAACAGCCCAGCTGTTGAGATTCTAACAGTGAGATACGCTCTTTGCATCAGATGTAGGACTGATATACCAGACATACCTGGACTTCCTACTGAAAAATTGGGCTTCTTGAGAGCCTGTGTACATTGATTGCACTGCAGACTTTGGTTTCATGTCATGGTACCCGGGGGAGAGCTTGGCTGAGCTGATTGCAGTCTAGTTGCTGTCAGAGATCCTTCACACTTGTGCAGGCGTTAAGTATATAGTTTAAGATAGCAGATGAGAACGTCCTATGTTTAGTACAGAGGGAAATAAGTGTTCTGGAAGCCTTGGAGACTATTCCTTTAGCCACCAGATAACAATTAAGAGGTTTGCTGTCCCTTGGACTTGGTGTTCTGCAGATAGACTTCACAGGAGTTAAACATTGATAACAGGCACTCTTTCAAGGGGAGAACAAATGCAGTGTTTATGGCAGTGTGGCATGTGTCTTTCATTCCCCGGTTTTTTCCTTCTCCCCAATTCCTTGTTTGCCAGTGAGAAGTCAGTCTGCTCCTTTTCTAACCTTGGTTAAAAAACTTTAGGACTCAGAGCCAGCTGAAAGTAGTTACATCTCATGGTAAATGTGCTGGGGAGTACTTGTCAATAGAGCATACTCGGCTTCCATCTGGTATGCAGGTTTCACATGAACAGCACAAGGAACTGTGTGAGGCACCACATTTACTTGGCCAAAATGCGCATAATCCTGTAGGAGAATGTCTCAACCTCAGCTCCTGATGCTGAATGACACGTAGATTTAAAATGCGTCCCTTCTACTAAGATTCTCTCAGTCACAGTTTCTGCTCGTCATCTTCCAGTTGATGAAACTTCTGAATCTTTCTCTGCCCTGTCCCTTAGTCTACATTCCTTACACTTCTTCTTGTATGAAGCATTTGCCCAATGGGACATAAAATCATGTATGTTCAGGTAGGACATCCCCTCCTTTACTGATTACTAGCTACTTACTTTTGGTGATGCTTCTAGAAAGTATTTCTCCTGCTTTTAAGTTGCTGTGTACTTTTTTCAGGCTTAGTGGTAGGTCTTTGTGAGTTACTTAGTTTTGATTTATGCTAATACAGGTGTTAATTCCCAGCTGAGATACCTAGAGAGACCTATTTCAAGTTGCTTTCAATTGTGGTCCCTGAGCATTGTTGCTTCCTACTGCCATAACCAACACCATTTTATTTTCCATCCATGATACCAAAGGCGACCTTATTTTTTGTGTTGGCAGGACCTGATACTTGGACTGCCCAGTAGGTATTATCATAAAAAGCTGAAAAGACATTTTGCAGTGACTCTCCAGTGGGCAGTTCAAGGCATCATAGCCAAAAAGCTTGTGGAGATACTCTCTTATTCTCCAAACAAGTCCTCTAGTGATACTATAAATGCAAGCTTGAGTTTCACAAATGTCCACGTTCCTAATAGCTAGAGTTTTTACATGTGTCTGTTTGAGGTATTTGTGGCTGATAGAGTGTAGGTCAGTAAAGTATCTGAGGTTTCTGCAAAAGACTTACTCAACTGTAAGCCCAAAGAACACATTATCTGATGATCTTAAGGGTCTTTTCTGACCTAAATGAGTCTATGATTCTATCCCTTAACACCCACTGCGTGTGAACATTCCAGTGGTCATCTTTTTTAAAGACAGCAAGACTTGATGTGTGCCACTAATTGAAATTCTGTAAGAAACGCATGGATATGTCCCCTTTCTATTCTTTCTGCTTTTACTGAAGTCTCTTTTCACTGAGATTGAGAGAAAACTATGTCACAGAGCCAGATGCGCTGTCTCCCAAACTCCTGCAGTAATCCTGGAGAATGCTGTCCCGCAGTTATACCACCCTGAAGGTCAAAATGTCATTAGCACTTGTATCTGTAAACACTGTAATGTATCCAGATATATTCAAAGTATCCAACCTCGAGAACTTCTGTTGCTGCTTTAGCTACAAGTTACCTGCTTTGTGCTCAAAAAGATGAAAAAGTATTCAATGAACAAACTGGAATTTACTGAATGCACCAATACATCTCAAAGCACGACAAGGGAAACTTTTCTGTTTATTCCTCACAGTTTTAGCATAAAAGCTTAAGTATGTTTTCCTGAATGCAGAAACTGTTCACCTTGCTTTAATGTCTGCCATTTATGCTGTAATTGGAGTATCTGATGCAATTGTAACGCTTCTAACCAATATATGAATTTAACATATTCAGTATTTTAAACTTTTAACAGCAAAACTAGATGCGCCCCCTAAACCTAAAAGAGCTCCCAAGGCCAAGAAGGTGGAAACTGTAAACTCTGATTCAGATTCAGAATTCGGCATTCCAAAGAAGACTGCAGCACCCAAAGGTACGAGTCACATCTGTGCTCCCTGTAGCTCAAGGTTCACAATTATAAGAACGACACTGACTTATCAGTAAGTTGATCACAAGGAGATTACTCAGCCATGAGCCCTTTCTGTGACAAATACAGTGACTTCTGTGACTTCTTGGGAAACAACGTGTGAACTTTTTTATCTAATCTTCACTGTTGGAAATGCACTTAATAGCTCCACTCCCTCCATTCCTCTTCAGTTCTGCTGGATACTAGTTATTTTCTTTGATCACTTTTTTTTTTTTTCTAAGACAGTAAAATTCTGGTAAGTAGCAATTTCTGGCTTTTTAAACCAATTCTTTGATATCCCATTTCTGAGAGTCCTCACAACACAGCACACCGAGTGGTGTTCAGAGGAGTCTGTAAAGGATGTGCCAGTGTTGCTGGTTGAGGACACAGGAAATTTACTAAATACTAAAACATGAATTAGTGCTGTGTAACAAGTACAGAGGGTGACCAAGGGCTTGTTAGTACTTCAGCAGTCTAGAAGTTATCTGATGTCATGAAGCCTGTCCCTGTCTTGAACCAACAGCTTGAATTTTCAGGGTAACTGTGGAAGTATAAAAGATTTAAAACAGAAAATAAAAGGTACTGTATTTTACTGCTGTTGTGAAGAAGCTTCAGTTGGATTTGAACTTTACCATGTAGTCATACTAAAGTAATTTCACTAGGGTTTTTTTTCAGTTTGAGGAAGTCTGAAGTTTATTAGGAAAAAAAAAAAAAAAAGGAAAACAAAGTTAACTAACTCGTAATCTCTTCACCTAGGAAAAGGCAGAGGGGCAAAGAAAAGGAAAGCATCTGGTTCAGAAAATGAAGGCGAATACAACCCTGGGAAGAAAACACCCAAGTCCACACCAAGCAAGGTAAGTTTCCTCTGTGCTCTCTTCTCCTTGTAAAAAGAACTTAATAGATTACTTTACATAAAAGGTGCATGTTCTTGTTATGAATTGCTAATATGGTAATGGATGTGTAGGTGTGGTTAGAAATGGGGTGTTAGAGAGGTTTCCTTCAATTCTGAAAATTAAAAGGGAAAATGTACACAGCATCACAACTGATTTGTCTTTTCTTTTCCAAAGAAATCCAAAAAGGCTGCTTTTGACCAGGATTCTGATGTGGAAATCTTTCAGTCAGGCTTTGCCTCCGAAACTGCCCCAAAGCCACGGACGGGCCGGGCTAGGAAAGAAGTTAAATATTTTGCAGAGTCTGATGAAGATGATGATTTTGATATGTTTAATTAAGTGCCCAAAGAGCACACAAATGTTTTCCAACAAATATCTTGTGTTGTCCTTTTGTCCCCTCTGTCGCAAACTTTTGTACATTTGACTTATTTTATGTGATAATGTAATTGATGGTTTTTATTATTGTGTGTAGGCATTTTAACATTTTGTTCTTACACCTACAGTTTTATGCTCTTTTTTACTCATTGAAATGTCATGTATTTGTCTGACTGGCTTGTAGAGATGTTCTAGACAGCTGTGCTAAAGCACATTTTAATTGTCATGGTTGCAAACAGCAAACCTGCTTTTTGAAATGAAGTTTAAACATTAAAAAATGGAAAACTATTATTTGTGTGTGTGTGTGTGTCTGTGTGTGGACTAGAGGGACTACTTCTACACAGCTTTTAAAATAAATATATTTTATTCTTTGCCAGAAGACTCCATGGAAAAAGGTAAACAGTATATGAACATAGAAAGCATTGTTAAACAATCTCAATGTACAAACAGAGCCAGTGAAAGTACATCACAGACTTGCTAGAATATATAAAAAAAAAATTTCCACTAGTGCTTTAAATGAAACCTAAGAAACTGACACTTTAAATCTGTTAACCATTCTACCACAGTTTTCACTCTGCTTCATGGTGATTTAACAAGGCCAAGAAGGCAGATTCTCTCCTTGTGTTTCTGGAAGTCTTAGCTGTACTTCCCTAGCACCTGGAAGGCTGGAGAACCCAGCTGATTCCTGGCAGTTGATTCTTAGGGAAATACCCTAGACTCAGCGATTCAAAAGCTGTAAATGAGTCTGCTGGTTATCATCCCATGAAGTTTCCCTAATGGCTTGTGAACAAGTAAACAAAAACATGGTAACACTGAAAAGTGTTTCTGCCTTGGAGGCTAGCACTGCTGTAGAAATGGAGCTGTTAATTGTGTAGCTAGATCACCAGCCAGCTAAGAAACCACTTCTTTAAAATTTAAAGTGACATTAACAGTGGAACAAATGACATCTGAATAACTGATCTGGCAGTTAATGCTGATACCGGTATCTCTTCTGCTGGGGCAGTGAAGTTTTGTGTACTTTTTACAAGGAAGGAGATGCAAACTGAGGGCATCAAAGACAAGTTTTCATATTTAAACTCAATCAGATGGTCCTTTAAGCTTCCTTCTCTGGATGTGTACAGTAGTCCATTTCATATGTTGGTGTCTTGATCATCTTAGGTATGAGAGACAAAAGGAAAGCACCAAACATCCAGTATGGAGAGTACAGCCATACATTTGTATGTACAAAGTCATCAGAAATGCAACCAGAATTTTAAGTTTGAGATCTGTCTTGTCACCATGCAATATTGAATGTTCAGAGGAGAAAACAAGCTTAACTATTTTTTTCTTTTGCATGAAATGGCTGATTTAAGAGTTTCAAAAGTTTGCATTTTCTATTTTAAGAGTTTAAACAGCAAGGAGTATATATATCGATACATATGAAAATTTCTTGGTCCTTGTTGAGTTTATCTATATATATATACACATATATAGATATATATTAAGTCCAGAAACTAAGCAGCAGTAAAAATGTTTTTCTTGCTTTTCATCCCTGTACATAAGGTATTAGGAATGTCTGAAGTAGCTGGAAAATGTCTTATTCCACCATAGGGGATTGACTGACACTGCTGTTATCCACTGAACTGGGTGAGATACTGGGACTGTGTTCTGCAGTATTTCCATTTGAGGTTGGTGTCAGTGGTTCATGTCCTTCAGAGTTTTCCAACATTTCCTGAATAAGAGGTGGCATGGATCCAGGAATTTCCATTTTCAATGTAATGACACGTTCTGCACCTTTAAAAAGAAAACACTTTCCATGAGTAGGATTCATACAATTTCATTTTTGTTAGCATTACAGTAGTAATTTCAGGGTATAAATTTTAACGGCTTTCATAGCTCCTTCTATAGTTTTTGCATACAAAAGCATGTAAGTGAATTGTTTCATTCAGTACAAGAAAAAGGAGTTAGATGAGTGCACCTTAACAAATTAATTCAAAATTATGACATAGCAACTGATGCTTCAATACAGGTAAATTGGATGAGTTGCTTACTTTCCTTGAAGGAACCAAAATGGCATTAAATTATACTGAAAATTTAAATTACGCTGTGATCATATAGATGTCTTTATAAAGTGGAACAACATTTAGTTTTTGATCTATACAGGATCTGCAAAGACTGTAGAATGACAGAAATTCTGGCTGGTGTTAAATAGGTGAGGTGAATCGGGCAAGAGAACTCCTGTGATGCAAGTCAGAACATTCCTTTTCCATAGAGAAAGCTGTGAAATAAGATGCAGAATTTAACAAACCATTACTTTATAAAAGAACAAATTCAGGCAAAAGGATACTTTTTGGGGAGGGAAGCTGATTTTCTGTATTTTCAGACATCGTGCCTTGTGCTAATTAGCCACCAAAGTATACAGAAACAGCAGTACTGCTTACACCTGCCTTAGCTGAAGCTGTTTGGTGTTTGGCCTTCTCTCATGTAACAACAGCCACCTGCATGCAGAGGTGCTCTGCAGGTGAGTGCACATAGGATTATACAAAATTACTACATCAACCCTGACTACTCAGCCTGTTAGCCAGTGACTGCTAGGTTAGGGAGAAAGAAAACCAACACAAAGTCTCATAACTGTGCCTGAAACTCCTGAGATGTGTTCTTGAAAAGGACAGGCACAGGGGTGCCTGTGTGAACAGGCAGACACTGCTCTGTGCCCTCACGGCACAGCCTGCGTTTTAAAAACAGCTGAGAGCCTGCCTGGCACTGGGCAGGCAGCACTGAGGGAACTGTGTAGGGATTAGGAAGTTACTGCAACCATCGGAATCCTTAAATGCTGGATGGACAAAACTTCTCAGGATCAAAAAATGCTGTTCTGGGAAAAACCTGATCTGCGAGGCAGGAGGGTTTAGCCGTGCCGATTGCTCTGCACCACTAGGCAAAAGCAATGTTAATCACCATTCAGCTACTGCGTGGAGAGGACAGGAGCATTTTGAAATTGCTGTACATCCTCACTTCAGTTGAACTGTAAAGATTTGGTTCCACACTGAGACATGAATGTGCTTTACGTATTTTGCCACTGATGGGAGAAAGAATTTTCTTATCAGGACATCGAGCAATTTATGGCCATAAACTACAGCATTCATGCTGCATAGGACTCCTGATCATCCTAAAACTGAATACAATGGAGGAGGAACCTGAGCTTTTCAAACAAGAAGGCAAGAAGAACTAAAAAAATTAAAGAGAAAGTAGTTTGGTTATTGAAGAACCATTCCAGAAGAGAGAACCTCTGGAAATACTCTACTTATCCATGGCTGCTGTAATGCACATGATGGAGAGCAAACTGGTCACTCCAGATTGTAAGGGAGCGCTTACATTCATGCCTTAAATGAGGAGCATCAAAAAAATCATCTACAAAGGCAATTAACAACTTTCCAAATGAATGCTGATTTAAAAGCCTCTTAAGTAACTGTTAATAACAAAGACATCTGTAATAGGAAAGAAATTAATGCAGAATGATGCTGAGAGCTTCTCTGAAAACCAACCATAGTCAGAGCAGTGCTGATGAACTGATTTTGGCTATGTTAAACATCTGCTTTCTGCTGTTATGTCAGGTGCAGTAAAGTGTTTGTGTGGTTATTCCAGTGTAGAACCAGAGAAATTTTTCAGGTGTTGCAGACTTCCAATTTAATTTGGGGATAAGAGAACTCAGGAGATGAAAAGAACTCACAACTGCCTTGCTTCACAAACACTTCATCCTTTAGTTACAGTACCTCTAATGCCACAGAAGAAAGTAGTTGTGTCAGGAACTCCAGGATAAGGAGACAGTCTCAGTCTTTTAGATTCACCCTTTCTTTGGTAATTGCTTTCTGGGATCATGTACCATCCAAAGTCATTATCATCTAATGTACATCTTTTCAAATGAAACTCAAGACATACCCACCCCTCCAGGACATCACCATCCTTTGGTATGATTTAGTTCTACTATAAAACATTAATGATATAATTAAAGTTAAATACTCATGTCAGAATGAAAAGAAGCCTTTCTTGTGAATTGAATATAAAGACACAAGAGTAGTGTTCTTGAGGCTCTGGTGAAGAAGCAGGAAAGTGGAAATGGATTTCCCACAAGCAGGAACAGCAGAACGAAAGGGGTCCCCTAAATATTTTTATAGCTCAATACTGGTCTAAGTTTATTTTATAGATTCAGTTGGATGGAGCTTGCTTTACTTGAGGGTAAACTGCAAGCTTTAGGTAACCTGGTACGGGGGTTACTTTTCAGGATACTTTTGCTTCCAGCTCTAGTGTTTCCCTTCCAGTTTACTTCTTTTGGTTCTAATCAATCCAATTAAATTGCTCACTTCTTTTTGTAAACATACCTATAACTTAATCTTTTAAGTTGGATATGTATTGTTTAAAGTGAAACAGTTTATGTTTGAATGCAAAAGAAGTCTATTTAGTTGTATGAATTAACTCCTGGGGTTTTTTTTCACCGAAGTCTTCCCCCAGATCATGTCAAATGAAATCAGTAATCTTTTCAAAAGCTTAAGTCCAAGCATACAGCTACGCAGGTACCTGTACATACAAGCTTGTGTGCTTGCTTATCTAGCAGGGGTAGCAAATCTGTTTTGGAACTGCATCAGCCACCATAAAAATAAGGACTGTTACACTTTACCCTCTGTATTCAGGCTGTGAATAAAGCACACTGTGCTTTAGAGAATGTATGGGACACCATTTAGACTGGGTGTGTTTCACAGGGACAATCAACCCCATACCAGACTACACAAAATGTTAAAACAGATCCACATTTAGGCATGGTTAGTTTGGATTAGGGGGCTGAATCTCCAAAATCCTGGATCAAATCAGTTCTAAATCTTCAATACCTCAAACCACAGTTTAGGGGAATTTTGGTTGCACAAGTGTTTTCTGCAGTCACCAGATTTTTTTTTTTTTTAGAAAGCCATTAGTGATACAAAGTGCATGTTAATTTGAACCTCCGTGTACACATTGATAAAGGTTTCATTCATGGTTTTATCTTAAAATGACTAACAAAGAGTTCATGCTAATGATTTGCTAATCTACTTCCACCTACAACATCATTTTCACTGTCAATTAAAGAACACAGCACCGTGTATGTTTGAAGTGGAACCAATTTAAAGGCAGGAGTTACATAAAAGAGACAGGAGGAGAAATGTCACAAGGACCTCTCTCAGTTGTATTAAAAAAAAAATAGCAACCCAGGTCTCTAGGACAGTTTCCTTTGAAATGCAACACGGCCACTACTGCTGAGTTATTAGGAGACACTGTACCTTTTGCACTGATGCTACGAAGATCCGTGATTTTCATTAAGATCTTTGGGAACATATGAGGCTTGTTGGGTCGTCTCTTTCGGATATAAATTTTCAGGGCTTCAAGCAAGGGTTCCTGAAGCTTATCCACTTTCATTGGTTCTTCAAGGTCCTGGCGATCTGTAGAAAAGTGTTGTATCACTCATCTGATTTTAAGTATTTATTTTTTTAAACAAACTGCAAATCACAGAAGATCCTCCATGTTCTTGATTAGAACTCCACTTAACAACCTACACTTCTGTAGTGAGAATTCCATAGGAAAAGGATAAACCATGGCCTTCTTCCTCTCCAAGGGGAAAACACCCTGCTGCAAACAGTATTTTGGAATTAATTCTATATGTGTCTGATAAACTGATAAGATACCCAGGTATACATAGAGATTACAGCTAATTTTTGTTATCACTGCTACAATAAAGTGAGTTACCATCAGGTATCAGCAGATGGCAGTGCTGGATTGAGTGACAACAAATGTCCCCCCTAAACCAGGATGCACTGGTCACATATCACTGACATCTCAGAGCCCATCAAGGCTTTTGATGGGTTACAGTTAGAGACACATAAAATCGAAATGATTTTGTACTACAGGGCAAAACAACAACGTGTTGTTTTGTAAAAATTCGCTGGTAGCACCCAGTTTGTATTTCAACAAAATGGCACAACTAAACAAGGTGTTTATATTTTGCAAAGGAGGAGAGAGACCAGGTGACTAAACTAATAGAAATTTACAGAGGATTTGGGAAATTAATCTGAGACTTCGCTTTTTGTATTTTAAAACCACGATTTTTTCAAGTTGTAATCAGCCCCAATTTGGAAGTATAATACATTTTTTTTCTAAAGAAAGCTATCACCAACAACATCCATGTAAGTGTAACTAATGCAAAGGCATACAATTATATTTATGAGTAAAAGCTGTGTTACTGGGCATCTTGCTCTAAGAAAGCTCACTCATACAGGTACCCATATACCACTCAGCAAAAAATGCAGCAGGACCAGGTGATATCAGAAGTCACTTCCAAACCCAACTGTTCTGTGAGATATCTCAATGTCCTTTGTCAGGCAAATAACAGGACTGGTTGCTTGACAGAATGATTCAATTTTTTTTAAAGTATCAAAAAAAACCAACCAACCAACTATCACCAGCAGAAAACAAGCCTTTAGCATTAAGTAGCTTATTTATGTTACAAAAACATATATACACATGAAGGAAAGCAAAACATGTAAAACATATATGAAGATCTTATCATGCCTGCCCTTTTCAAATGCATCTATGTTTATGCTGTACGATACCTCCACAGATTAGGCAGATGGCACTAAGGAGACCTGTTTCTGTATCATCCATTTCCAAAGGCAGGAGCTGATTGGCAAAGGTGAACACGAGATCAGTCAGTGGGCCAAATCCGGCATTGTGCATCTGAGTTCTGTTTAGGGTAAGGCCATCTGAAAAGGTCATGGTGTCTTGTTCTGGTGTGTATCTTGTGCAAATTCTAAGGATCTGTGGAAGGATAAAACAGAAAAATGAAATCTCACCACTTGGGTCACCGACATTACCTTAACACGCATCTAAACAGCTCCTTAATTAGCCTGCCACCTGCACCTAACTATAAAATGCTACTGCCCTGCTGGTCTGACCCAGTAAGACCTTAAGAGTATCTCACCCCTTCAAATACAGACATATTGATTTTGGGGACCAGTTCTTCATGAGAGTGCTTCTCTGGGTTGTGTCTTTGGCAAGGACAGTGTTGCTCTGTGGTGAGTGAGTGTGGACAGCTGTGAGCTGCCAAAAGAGGCAGAACATAACTTGTGCTTTGGGTGCCTTTCCCTCTTCTGCGAGAACAGACAGGCAAACACCGCTGTGGGAACAACCACTCCTGTCCAAGCGCTTCCTGGAGAGCTGTGCAAAATCTTCCATCTCCCCAGCAGCTGCAGGTACAGTCTCTCTGGAGCACTGCTTACCCTGTCAGCCTGGGAACTCACACCTGAGTGGATTATGAAATTTTTGAACCTCCACATGGCAGTGCACAGGGACTATTGGCAGCCCAGCTTTTCTTCTTTTATAGTGGTTGTTACTTCCATGTGCTGTAGCACCAAATCTCCTCACCAGCCTACTGGCCTCCAGCCCTCCTGCAGCCTCTGGTACTTCCCCCTCTTGAGCCCCCAGGCAGTGGCACACCCTGCCTGCCTGGTGCAAAGCCTGTCTTCCCACTGCTGACAGTGCCGTTCATTCCTGCACAAGCCCAGGCAGTGTTGGTTTTGGCAAGTCTGCTTATGTGCCAACAGCCACCCAGTGCTGACCCCAGATGAAAGAGCGTTCGAGGGGAGGGTGGGGATTCACACCTCTAACTGGACACAGGAGGAATGCAAAACACATGAATAAAACACCGAGGATGCTCTGCATTTTGTTAGTAAATGCCTCTGGGGTAACCGCATCGCCAAGAGTGCTGTCACAGCAGAGGTGGCATCGTGGCCAGAGAGAGAGAGTGCTTGCATGAACTGCTCTTGCCTCTTGGAGCAAACCCAGGACGTGTCCTGCGATAGACCCTTTACAGCATGGGATCATTTGTACAGCTGCAATTAATGAACACTGCCTTAAGGATCAAATAAAAGAGATGTCCATCATGTTGACATGTTTCTGTTATATATATCAATGCTTAATGTTTAAAACAATCAGAGGTGGGAGAAGGCTTATCCCTAAACTAAACTAAACTTAAAACCTTTCTGAAATCTAGCTGATTAGCTGAGCTAAGACTACAGCTGTGTTTTTTCAGGGCTTGAGTGTATTTATTTCCCATACAGCCATCCTACTTGGTTTTAAAGATTCAACAGAAAAGATTTACATGAATATAAGTGAGCACTGGGAGAACTTAATTACTCCTATAGCTGCCGAGGCTCTGAGTCAGAGGCCCCAGCACTTGGCAGCTGACCAGTCTGGGCTTGGTTCTCCCACTTTCATCTTTGCCTGGCAACACTGCTCCAAACAAGTGGGGAGGAGAATGAGGAGAACACAGTCTGTAAGGGACCTATAGGGAAGCTCGTATTTCTCTTCTTCAGTTCCTTGGTAAGGATGTACTTCTATAGAAGGATCTTCAACCATTTTCTATCTCAGCAATAATCTTGTCCACATTGTGGGTATACACTGAACCAATGAACCTCTATGTGGTTTCACATCATTCCCTTACCCCTGAGTTAGAGTAAGTTCTTGACATTACTTGAATCAGTGACCAAGAGAGGCACAAATACAAACACAGAGCATTTGAATTCTTCAGTGACCACAAATTCCCCACTAATATAAGTGATCTTAAAAGGCTGCTGGTTGCTCCTAAGGTTTTATATAATAGCCAATGTGTATTTCAGTATCATTAGCAAAAATTAACATTATAAAGCAAGGCACCATGTCAATAAGAGGCAGCATGTTTACCACATTCGGCACTGCCAGTAACCTCTGGCTGTGCTCTCCCTTGAAGTTCACTGTGGGTTGCCCTTTTAAATCATTAAAAGATTGTACAGCAAGAAGAAACATTAAGAATAGATTGTTTTCAAGAAAAGAGAGGTTTGAAAACTGTGCATTTATTATGAAACCCAAGATTACTTGTTTTCCTTCTCTAATGGCAAGAAAGAGAAACTGGAGTGCATCTCTTCCTATCTGAGGCCTGCACATACAGCAGCTGCTTTCCAGTAAGTGTGTGTGGCTGGCAAAGATCAAGTATCCAACTTCTGGAGGAACAGGGAACTTCTTACTGGGTACTGATTTTTCCCTCAGCTTGGCCAGGAGGAAAGGCAGCCTCTTTTATTCCAATGCTGTTTTAATTGATGAGCCTTAGCAACAAGAGCTCCTCCCCTCCACACCCTCAGGACTCCCAGCCCAACAAATTAGTAGAGCAGGACTTGGAGCTAAACTGAGCAATGCCGGGGTGTTTTCCAAGGGCTGCCTGCAGCTTTCCCGGCAGCTGCCCAAGCAGGGCTGGCAAATACAGATCCTCCAGATCCTCCCTCAGACGGCAAGTCTGGACAGCAGCTGCCAGCGCTGCACTGCCCAGAGACTCACAGCCCAGAGGGACTGGAGTACCCTGGAGTGGTGATCCCAAACAACCCAGAGGCCCAGGGTATGCTTCCCATCCTACAGCAGGCTGCAGGCTCCCTTGCAGCAAAGCTCTCTGTGCTTGTCTCCTAGTGCCGTAAGCCCCACTTCTTTTGGGGGTGTATGCTAAGGGTGCTCAGCAAAGAGCTACCAGATCACTGCCTCCCCAGACCTAATGCAGAGAAACACTTCCAGGCTGGATCCTCATCAGGAATGAATTTCGGGTTAGGTTATTCAGCCTTGAGCCACTCTCTGTGCGCATGCACAGAAGGCGACCTCGAGGCCTTGTGAAACATAAAGGTCCCACGGGATTTAGCTACTTCCAGGCTCAGGCAGCGAGTAGGACAGGTGTTTGCAAAAGGCACACTTCAGGCCTTCGTACCCCAAATGCTTTGCACCCTGAGTGGCTCTGCCGGGCACTGGCACAGCTGAAGATCAACTATGTGTCTTCAGCAATGCACTTAGCTTGACTGCAGCAATTGGGTCTCAGGTTTCCCCTGCATTCCTTTGACATTATCCCACAACACACTGTTATTAAACTCTAAGACAGATCATTTGGAATGGTGTTTTTATTTTTTTTTTTTTTTTTTTTTTTTTTTTTTTTTTTTTTTTTTTTTTTTTTTTTTTTTTTTTTTTTTTTTTTTTTTTTTTTATATTTGTGTCCTTCATAAAAATCTGCAAAATGCCATGGATATTGCTGATTCGCTGCTAAACTGTTCTTGGGCAAACTTCCAGTGTCAAAGTGAAGCTGATTTCAAACTCATATTCACTGAAGAACATATGGGAAACATCAGCACTTCAAAATAAGAAATCATGGTATCTTTCTCCATTTTAAACTGAACTCCTAATGTCCTCAATGTTGTTTAGATTTTGTAACAGAGCCAAGTATTTTAGTTGTCACTCTGCTCTCAAATGCCACTTGCAGCCATAAATATGGTTCTTGTGATTAAAGGATCCTTTGTTTTAAGGAATATTCAGATACTAAAGAATTAGGTGTTCCTGTGAGCCAGCTATAAAGAACAAAATGAAAACCCTACCAGAAGCACAAAACCAAAGTCACCCAGAAAGTTGCATTTACAAAACTGTTGCTACCACAGAGTTGTTATTGCTTTTAAACTGATCAAGTAAGGCAAGGAAGCTGGGCCTTGTTTCTTTTTTTTAAGAAATCCTGTTGTTAGACATTAGCTGCCTTAGCCGGCTGGGACAGTTCCCCAAGAGGAGAAACCCAGGCAGGTGACTGAAACAATGATGTCCTATGGTGCTGCCAAATCCCATGAGCACTGGTTGTTCTGCACACACAAATGCCTTCCTAACATTAACTCACAGAGTTTTACAACAGAAAGCAAGAATTACATCATTAAGGATTAGCATTCAAGGACTGCTCCAGTTTTTATCCATTGGATTTAAGACAGGCTGGACTCTGGACCCTTTCCACATTCATTTTGCCAGAGCTCAGTGAGGCTGGGGATGCTCAACTGCTGCTGAGCCAGTGTACCAGCAGACAGAAGCACTCCCTTTTATGAGGGTTACTGACTGAATTTTAGTAGTATTTATCCCTGAAACTTTTGGAACCAGAGCAGATATAAATTCCACGATCCTCAGCTGGCGCCTCCAGCTGCCTTGCAAAGCTTGATGTTATTTCCCTTCCAGAGTTTTTGTTTGTTTGTATATAAAACAATTCTTTGGCACATACCCAGAAGAGTTTACTGAGCTTCTGGCACCATTTCCCTTATCAGCCTGTTTAAGAGGGGCTTAAGCACCCACAGCCAGAGCAGAGCCCTCAGCACAGTCTATAAACGCTTAAGACTCCCCATAGCTGGTGCTGAAGGGCAGATGGACAGTGAAGCCAGGGTCCTGCTGGCAGGGAAACCTGGCCACCCTATCTGGGAGCCCCACCCTGTGTGCCACAGCTCTGGGAACACACCCAGGGAACTGCACAGCACCAGGATCATGAGTGCACACTGGTGAGGCTCATGGCCCCGCTCGGCAGCGCTCACACAGCAGCCCACAGGCCGACACTGGCAGTGGGTGCTCATGCAACAGGAGGGGAAACAGCGCTCGCTCCACGTCTCAGGGCACAACCAAATGAAACGTTTGAAACGCTCATAACTAGAACAACTGGCTTGTTGGGGGAAAAATAAGTGCTATTAAAACACTGCTCCAGTACTGAAGTTTAGCTTAAACAAAGATAGAGAGAGGCATTGCAATTCTGATTATGCACAGGTGATGCGGGTATAATGGGTACAGCATTTCACAGGCGGTGCGCGCAGTACGCATTACCGTGTCATGGTAATTATCCCATTTTCTTTTTAAGCAGCACATAAAATAGACACATAAAGTTTGCATAAACGTCACACAGGAAACTTAGGACTATTCACAGCAACCATGTCGAATCTGTTCCTGTTTTATAAAAGCCTCAGCTCCTCCCTGCCACGGGCAGCTATGGCGCCTGCTGTGCCCTGCTCACTCAAGATGTGTCACCTTCTCTGGCTTCGTAAAAAATGAAAAAGAGAACGAGCAGGTGATCAGGAGTGACAGGCCTCAGTAAAGTTTATAACTAGAGCTTGGAGGCTGCCACATGGCCACAAAGTAAAAGAGGTGACTTGCATGGAAGAATCAACCTTTTCTATCCATTTATTAGTTGAAATAAAGTCACCGTTTATCACCTGCTTCATTCTCTTTTCTGGCAATCACTTTGATCAAAGGCTGTGAAGTGCCTTTATCGAGGCACTTCAGATAAAATCCCTAACAGAAAGGCTCCCCTCAATACTTGGTACTGCCCAGCTGGTGTTGGGGATGGAAGCACTGAGTAGAGCTTCTAAGGGGACCCTGTGCAAGAGGCTCCCAGGGCAAGCTCCCACTACTCAACCCAAAAAGTGCACCAGGAGCTTGCAGGATCCTGAGCAATTAAAGAATTAGGGTATTTTTTTTCCCAGCAGCTATGGAGCCAGGGCATGGCACAAGTAAACAGAGGGAGGCAGCTTAAAGGCTGAAGTTTTAGGGGTAAAGAGTTTAGATGTGCAGATTATTGCTATATCTTGGCTCCTCCTTACTTTTTTTGGGGTAGTTTCTGTCTTAACTATTTGCTACTGGTTACAATAGAGCTCTTCCTGTCCCCTACCTCTGGCAGAATACACTCAGATTATTGATTACTATCTGCCTTTCAGTGTAAGGGGAACGTAACAGTGTCTGATCAGGACAGAGCCGGCGGTACAGTGCAATTGGTAACAAATGGCCCTGCCCCACAGAGGGACCACTCTCTTTAACAAGGAGATGGCCAACTCTGAAAGAGCACCAGGATGAAGAGAATAACAAGAGGTGACTCTCAAGCATGGCAGGGCAACCTCTACCTTCCCTTTTTCTACAGGGCAAAGAACAATATCCCTTCCCCTCTCCTATCCTCTTCCTCCTTCATCGATGTCCTGTCTTGATGCAATTCTTCCAAACAGTTTTTGACAAAACAAGAGGAAAAGGTCACAGCAGTTAACATGATCCTGTTTGAAGCAATGCACTTTTAGAAATTCCAAGACTAATTACTTCAACTTCAAATTCTGTAGTTTAAACTCCTATGTCATGCCAAAAATGTATCTACAGTAGCCATCCTACGATGGGCTTCTTGGCTAGCCATGCTTGACTAAATGAAGACCTGAAGGTCTGTGGTCAGAAGGAAACATTTAAAATAAGTTTACATTGAAAATACTGTTTTGTGAAAGTTATTGCTACAACCGATAATAAGAAGCATATTTGCCACTAAAAGCCTGAAAACCTCTAAGGTCTTGATAAGGAAATGCTGAGATCCCAGAGGGCTTCTCTGAAGGTCAGCATGACAGAAACAACTGGAGACAATGGGAGAGAAAGACAGCTTGCCTTGACATAGTGGCAAGGCAAGGTCTGGAGAAAAACTTCCAGCCCACCTGCACAGTTTCCTCCTGCAGGTTGTATGTTTGCTTATTTAAAATTAAATTACATTTAGCTAAAATCTGTACTGAGTCTATTACAGCAGCCACTTTCACAGTCGTCTGCAGCACTGGCACGCTGGCACAAATTACTGCCACATACCACAACATGCCCTTTTTACTGAGACCCACAAACTGTAAGGACTTATTTTGAAAAGCACATTCATCCCACATAACACACCTCTGTCAGGTGTGCTACAGTCCACTCCTGACTACCTGGTAAGTTCAATTTTGCAACCATAAGATCCAGGCAGTATTCGACCCCTTCTCCCTGTCAGTTACAGTAAAAAGAAGAACAGAAAATACATCAGTAGGAGAACAATGACGTTAAAAATACTTACCAGTATGTCCAGGCAGGCTGCTTTAAGTAGAGTTATTTGGTCTGCAATGGTCAAACTTGTAAAGCCTGGCAATCGCTTTGCGAATTCCACTATTTTAATAATGCACTTTGTTGCAAGTTCACTGAATTTGTCCCAAAGCCCAAGGTCCAGTCGAACTCGATGGTCTGCACTGGAGTTCTGTAAAGACAGACAGAAGGCACCGTAAGTCAACATGTCCCTTTCAGTAAAAGGCTTTCAAGGGAAGGAAACAACAACCAACTTTTCCTTCCAGAAGTACTTTCTATTAACATTCCAGGCATTTTCTGCAGCTTGCTGTTGGGATGTTGGTGGTTTTAAACTTGGATTAATAGCCTGAAAATTCCTTGGATATTTCTCTGTTACTTATGATTGCAGAGGCCATCTGTACACGGAATACAAATGAACTTAAACATTTCCAAATGCCACCATCATTATTCTTCCTTGCCATTATATAATAAGTGCATTGAGAAAGACAATTTACAGTTGTACCCCAGAAAATACAAATGAATAGTGGAAGAAGAATATTGGGTCCTCATCTGAAAAAAAGCAGCACAATATTTGGAACACAGTTTCACATACTTAAGGTCTTACCAAATTAATTCTACTTAATTTATCTGCTCTGTGGCTCTGCAACAGCTTTCTGAAGCTACGGTCTCCCATGACTTACAAGAGCATTTCTTTACATGATGTTAAGAAAAACCCCATGTGTGTTGATGAATGCTATATGCTTATTTGATGGTGCATCTGACATATACCCCACTGCTTGAAACGTTACAGGGACACTGCAGTGGCATCTTTCAGAGACAATATATTTTAGAGACTGTAGGTTTCTATATATTCACCTGTTTCAATCAAAAAGTCTGCTAGGATGCGTAGCAAACTTGTATTAAGTTTGTGGTTAAACTAACGTTAAACTAATGTTTTCATACATTCAGAATAACCACTTAAGCCTTTAAAAAGCTGAATGTGTCAGCCAAGAACCAGCTGACTCAGAAGATGCTGTGACCCAGTTGACATTAGCCCAACAACAGCTGCTGTCACGAAGAGACCTGGTGAGTTGATCGCGACCCACCCATGATTCCCACAGAGTGACAAGGAACCGGTTACAAAGGAGCTCTGAAATACCCAAAGCTCCTCTCCTCCTACCCCTTTGTGCAGCGTATTCCCATGCTGCCAGCGTTTGAACTGATGCTGTTTAGGATGTAGCCAGCATGGTGATGTCCCCTTTCTCTTTTTCATGAGCCACCAAGGTTAGCGTACATTGCATTTGCCTTCAGCTTCTGGGGAATCTCCTCTTCACTGCAAGAAGAGTTTTACCACTAAAAATATGCTGGTAACAAATCTGGAAAAGGTGTTGAACTGCAGCCACAGAAAACCAAAGGCAATTTCTCCCTTCCACCTCTTATCTGACCTTGTTGACTAACCAAGACAGACACCATCAAAAAAAGGGCCCCCTACTCCAAATAGGTGCTTGAGGCAGGCAAAGGAAAATTCTCTCAGACAATGGTTTTCTCCCCAGCTGCTGACAAAGCCGATGTGATCAGCTGCCTCAGTCTTAGCTGGTTGAAGTTAAAATGTTAAATTAACTTTTAAATTAAAGTTAAATAAGCAGAGTCTCAACCTAAAAGTCTAACAGACATGGCAGATTAAATAACCATCAAAAAGCAATCAATTAACAGAGATCACACTTCCTTGGAGGAAACATCTACAGTGAACCTGTCACTACCACTACTGATGGGGAGGACGTCCACCTCCTTGGAAACCAGTGAAGCCATCATCTTGTCAGCTTTCTTCAGTTCACAAGAAGGACACGGGGCTGCCTTCACAAGACATCACCACAACCTGATGGGCCCGCAATGCACTGCCAGCCCGACATTCCCTCTCACTTGGAAGAGGGTGGAGACTCAAGCCAGTAATATTTACATTAGGCTCTAATTGAAAAAAAATATTTTCTAAGCATGCTGCACAGTTCAAAGGAGCATAAATGTTCCTTCCTGCTACCCCTCTTTTTAAGGGATAATCAATTAATTTCATAATTTCTATTTGAATTTTTATTCTGGGAACATCCTCTTTTTTTTGTTTGTTTGTTTTGTTTTTGTTGGTGGTGGTGGTTTTTTTGTTGTTGTTGCTTGTGTTTTTTTTTAAAGTGACAGAAGGAAAAATAGAAGAAAATGTCTTTATAATGCTAAACCTAAAGAATTGCCTTCAAAATGGTCCAAAACTAATGGGTTAACAGTCATTGTAATGCCCTTTGAAACATTTCTTTTGGCTACTGGAGTATGCATCCCTCAGATTTATTTTATTTCATCCTCAAGGACCTTGGTGAAATACAGTACATTGGAGGAAAAATAAGATCAAGATGTGCAGTCATTCAGGCTGTAATTAAATTTAATAGGCAGTTTATCCAGTTCATAGAAAGATGGCATAGCAGAGAGCTACACAAAGCAGAGCCTAAAGCAGGAAATCATTTTACAATAGGGTATCCATCTGGAAAAAAAGACGTTGCATGAAACCAGCAAGTGTGAACGAAATCTTCATCAGTATCATATGAGGTTACTTTATCATGCTGCAGTGCTGGAGATGGGAAGTTTGACGTGTCTTCTATTAAGAGTAATGCACAGCCATCTTAACAAATGTAAATCTAACTCACTATTATGCAAACTGAAGAGAAGGGGCAGTTAATAAAATATAAAATATAAAATATAAAATATAAAATATAAAATATAAAATATAAAATATAAAATATAAAATATAAAATATAAAATATAAAATATAAAATATAAAATATAAAATATAAAATATAAAATATAAAATATAAAATATAAAATATAAAATATAAAATATAAAATATAAAATATCCAGGTGTTTTATTATGCCAGGTGCCAGATCCCTCAGCGTTGGAGCTAATGTGGTTTACACATTATCTTTGACATGCTAAGAGTTTTAACATTCTATCTGTTAATAAAGTCAATGCAAGTGTCACAGCAAAAACCTTGAATTTTTAGCAGCATTCCTCAATATCTAAACCCCAAAACTAACTCAAAATCAGTGTATAGGTTGAACAATAAAACACAGGGTTAAAACAATGCACAGTAGAAGTAGAAACTCTGATTAAATTTGCCTGGGGATCTCCTCTATCCATGCCGTGAAAAAGATGCAGATGCTATGACTTTTCCTGAATATTTTACTGAAGCGGTTTTTTGGGTGTCTTTTCCAGGAGCAGTCTCACATGTTTTTCAGGCCTATGCACCAGCGCACATATGGTGGAACAATACTGTAATACACCCTAGTGGCATCTTTATCAGTGGAAAAGCCCAACCTTGCTATGAAATCCAATTAAACAGCCATTTTTGCCACATAAAATGATCCCATTTTTTCCATCATTTTTGTTTTTTCATTGCAGGCTGCTCTATCTCCACATTAACGATACGGGATGAGGTACTCGTAGAAACATACACAGTAGCAGAATCCCTACTGTCTTTAAAATCCACTTTACAAAGGAAACAAGGCTCACAGGGGCACTCTGCCCTAATCAAGAACACTCTCGATGCCTCTTTAGTAAAAGCAGCAATGCACTCCAGCTCCAGCAAGTTCACTGAGGACCACAGCACGTTTCTGCTCAGTACCAGCACGAGGAAATATATCTATATATAGATATTTAGGTTCAGATATATATTCCTCTGCAATGGCACAGATCAACAGTCATGTAACTTTCAACCCCAGCACTTACAAAGGACTGAATGCTGCAGAGATGTGAAACCTCCTCACTTCCAGCAACCCAGATGAACGAACCCGCAGCAAGGGTCTGCAGAGCCAAAATTATTTTCTGTTTTATCCTCCCTGTATCACAAGGCTGGATGTAACACAGCTGTAGACTTACAAATAATACCAGTCTCAAGGGACAAGCAGTGTAGTTACACTCAATTATACTATAAAGTATGACATCTCCAGAGAAATTACTACGGCACTCTCTCTTACCTGGATGACAGTAATAAAACAGATCTATTTATGATGGACTCTTGGAATCTGTTACATTTAAACAGCTTGCTGATTCTCACCATTGGCAGAACTATACTAGTCACTGCCCACCAAATGCAACTGTTAAATCAAATGACCCAGGGAATTTAATGTGAGTGCTATTCTCCCATTATTTTAAGTAGACTTGTATTAACTATGCAAAGTATGGTAATTATTACAGATAGGGACACTTTTTCTTTTTAAAGAGCAGATGGATATAAAAAAAACCTCCTTAATTGCAAATGCTTCTCAGAAACCATTTTTTAACAGGTAAAAATACACAACGGGTGGGAGGGGGGAAAAAAATCACCATGTAACCTTTCCCTCTGGAAAATGCAGGCTGCAGCACTCAAGAGCGAGAGGAGCCAGATACGCAAGCCAAACATCTGAACAGATTAATTTTTTTCTATTGTATCGCTGTAGGGCCTTTTTTACTTCACACTCTTATGCTTAAAATTCTTTGATCTTTTTAGCAACAAACAAAATCCTGTTTTAAAACAGTCTGAATGATCACACAGCCAAAGGCACACAGAAGACACGCTTGCAGAACAGTTTCTCCCATCCACCATTTCCACCAGTACGCAAGTGCAAAGCTAATGAAATTCAAGGGAATCCACATTGGTTCAATACACTCACTTCTCACCCCTCGCTTAGAAAATTAAATTAAAAACTCTAAGGTTATAAAAGCAATCTGTGTGCTCCTTAGTGTGAGAGCGCCATGCTTCATGACTGACAGCCTGCAGAAGCGGGCATAAAAGCAGGACTGGTGGCAATCTTCTACCTATACTAGATTGTTACTATCAAGAAGACCAGAATGGTGTAGGTTTCTAGCTCCCCTTGGACTCAGCATTTAGAGAAAAGACTGCGTACTCTTTTTTATTTGACTTCTGGTCTCTGTTTAAAGTGTCTCAGATTATTGCCAGAGTGCTGCCATTTGATCAGCAGCTGGTGGTGTTGTCCAGGCACAGCAGCTGTGCTCCTCTGACCAGCACACAAACCTTCCACATCCCAGATCCTCCTATATCCTCAACTGCTGCAGAAAGGCTTCTTCCCTGCTCCTGGGCTGACAGGCAGCTGGAGGTGAGGATGACCCTTAGTCCAGCCCCAGCGGTACTCTGTCCCTGCCACATCTGGGCAGAGGCAGCATTAATAAAAATGAATTAACATTGAATTCCTACCTAAAAAGCTGGAGTAGCTGCCAGAGCTTAGCTACATGAGAGACTTAAATGCCCTACATTTCACACAGAGACCATCAGAATGCAGTAGGAAGACAGTATTTAACACCACTTCTATTAGTTTTGATGCACCTTTTGAAGTAAGCTGCATCATTCTCAAAGATTCAATGTAAGCCAAAAATAACTCTTCCAGTGTAATTCTATCATTGAAACTTGTATGGCACCAAACCATGACCAAACCATGGAGGGACCTTGGCCTCATGCAGAGTCTACTGCTGTAGCCTTCCAACAGACCAATGCTAAAACAAGAAATCTCTTTCCTCGAGCTGTCTGATCTGGCCTGAGATATGAATGACCAATATCCAGCCTCAGAGAGAGTGTGGTCAGGTCATGGCTACTTGTGCTCCATATACAGACCAGATTCATCCATGCACTACTGGGATCCAGGTGCTGTCAGTAAGGGCTCTGATATTCCAACAGGTACACAGATTCATCATGGGAGTCACAAGGAGCCCAAGGACAAATGCATCAGTGGTGGGTGTGATATGCAACAAGACCCGCTCCAATTTCATCCAATTGTATCATTTCAAGAGCTAAAATATTAATGATACTTAAGCACCCAATACCTAATGCAAGCGCAGAGGTGCCCAGGTTTATCTTTCATCCCTCCAGGGTCTTTGGCAACTACCAGTATGCAGTACCACATCACATCAGCTGCAGTGCACTCTGCTAACTCAGAGAGAAAATATAAGTACATACCGACACATTCCTGCTGGGAAGTACACTGATAGGTTACTCTGGGATAACCAGGCCACTTGCAAGGCAGCCTGGGAGCAATAAACCCTGGCACACGTACCAGCCCGGCCACATGTCCCAGCTGCGGACATACGATCACCTCTCCTACACGGCATAAACTCACTGTCTTTGAACTGGAAAGATTTTCGTAGTTACTCAGAGGCACTCTTGGATTTGCAGGAGTGTGACAGCCTGTTTGGAAGATTGGGAAGATTCTTCACTCCAAGACAAGGATGCAACAGCACATGCAGAGAGGAGGGGTGGAGGGCATTAAGCCAGGAATTTCTTTGAAGACACACTGTGAGTCCCACTGTCTCCAGCTTTGCCTTCAGTTATGTCACCAGCTGGCTGCTTCCAAGCTTCCAGCCTCGCACGCTGCGCTAGTCCCTGTGGGTCTGCCTGTGCAATATTTACCAGCACGCCTACACTGACTGCTTTGACTACATCCCACCCAAGCAGGACTAGGACCAGAGAAGCATGCAGAGGACAGGCATCTTCTCCAGCCCTAACCAGTTTACGTGGGTCTCAGAATTAAATGTGAAAAAGGTTTGTGAAAATACTTTCAGCAACATGAAAACCACACTTTTTTCCTAACATCACACCATATGTGCTTGCTTTTATTGCACTTAAATAAGAAGTCTTACACGTAGACCTGAGAGTTTTGAGCCTTGCACTTTGTTTTGTAAATAGATGAGTACGCCATAAAACAGCATCCTGCTCGCCAAAAAAGTGAATATTGATGCCACACGGGGATTTGTCTACATCACTCTGAGAAATTTAATGTTTGTTTCAATAGCAGAAAATTTACTCAAAGACTCTGGGGCTCGGTTCCACATCTTCAGCTGGGGCTGGAGGGCAAGGACCATGGAGGCAGGTGCCTCCTTGCCCCAGGCATGCCACTCCTGAACTCCTGCTCTCAGCAAAGAGAGTACATGCTTGACTACTTCAGGACCTTCTGCACATCCCGCTGAAACAGCCAGTGCTGCTGCAACCCACAACAAGATTAGACCCAGCAAAGTCATTCCTCCACTGGTAAGGTTCTAAGAGTTATTTTTTAGCATCTTTTTTATTACTGCATTTACAAATTTGACACTGAATTTTCTCTGACATCAATAAATATCACCGAACTTCCCTGTACTTAGCAACATAAACACATACAGAAAAAAAATGGTTTCCCTGACTCATCTCTGGAGAAATTCCCACAGTTACTGAACTTCTTGATAGGGTGGGCTGATTTTTCCTTTCTAAAAGCAGCAGACGTTTTTGCTGCTTTGTGGTATTTCAGTAGACTGAGAAAGGATGTGTAATTTTGGGGGTTGTCCTCTGCAGAGCCAGAAGTTGGACTCGATGATCCTTGTGGGTTCCTTCCAACTCAGGATATTCTTTGATTGTAGGAACAAACTGCAAATGAGCATTTTGGAAACTGACTTACTTAGATATTTCATATTTTCCTTGACCTTGGTAGCTTTGGGACTATCACCAGTAATCCAGCAGCATTTAAGAACTCCCTACACCTGCAAAGTTGTAATCTGCTGACGCACAAGCAGAGATCACGTCTTTGGAAGCCAACAAATTTCTAATGAATGATGGAATGTAACTGACTCATGGACTCCGAGCTCGTCATTTGGCTGGATTAATCCTTCAGTCAGTCTCTCGTGATAGCACTAAGTAAAGCTTACAGTTAAGTGCAATTTCTCTTCCCCAGCATGCATTTGCACACATACCTGTGTTTTTTCATGACTAAGGAGGTGCAAGGAGTGCATCTACTACTGCATCTATTTAAAATGCCTGAAGCCTCCAAAACTCATGTCAGTTCCAGGCATATCCAGAACGTATGTGACTCAAACCATACTCACTGTAGTGTATTTTCCCAGCTGGCAGAGTGAGGGGAAGGTTTCCTGGTGAGCTTTCCGGATCTTCTCAGTGAGATCATCCAACTCTGCTGTCATTTCATAGTTTTCTGTGGACTCCTGCTTTGAAGGTTCCTTCTTCTTTTTGTTCCTATCATTTCTGACAGCTGTAAAAAAAGCAGAGATACAGATCACATGGGGTTATTCAGATCAACCCATGCTGCTTTTGCTGCTCTATTTCAAAACACTGCAAGGTGCTTTTATACTGGATGTGAATTATTTTAAGTGAAGAATGTTATATGCAGAGAGAGCAGTAATGCAAGCATAGTTATTCAAGAATAATTTAAGAATTAAATGTAATGGGTAATGATGAAACCAAACTTGCACTGGTGTTTGTTTTGGGGATACCATCACACTTCCAAGTACCTAACTTCCAAGGAAGTCTACTGCAACGTAACATATATTGTGTCTCAGTAACTTTGTGAGGTGGGACTTTTTTCCCTGTATCACTACAGCTGTGCATGGTGAACAGTGAAGTTCTCTGTAGTGATGCATTTGGTATTTCACTGGATGTGAACAACACTAAAAAAAGACCGCAACTGTCTTTCTTCTTAAATATCTCAGTATGGAAGACAACAAACTCCCATACTAATACAAGCTCCACCAAGCAAAAGTTACTTAAAAGGAAAGTTAAATGTGAAAACAGTAAATGAAAGAAGATGAAACATGTTAAACTCAAGTTCTAAAGATCAAAGGAAAAGCACAAAACACTTGAAAGAGTAAAAATGGCAGTGAAGCTATCTAAAGTTGCTTGCCATCTGCTTCTACACTCAGATCAGCCTTCTACCTTCCCCCGGCCGTGGGGGATTACTGGAAATATGCATCATGCAGCACTCGTGCTGTAATTGATTTCCCACATATTTGTGTTCTGTAATAAAATATGACAGCTGCTCCATCACCATGCTACTCTTTGTTCTTTTAATGAAAATAGCTTAATTTTACAAAACGTGCCCAGGAGATAAGTCTATGTCCACAGTATTGCCAGTAATTGTGAATTTTATCAAGAGACTTGTTGTTAGCTAAAGCTAACGTCTTAAGTGTAACCAGATGCATAAGGCTTTACAACAAAGCCAAGCAAAATCAATTCCTTTCCCCCGAGACCCCATGTCAATATTAAACACCCTGAAGACTAAATGTTACTGGATAAATAAAACCAATCCTAACATCATTAGTGTTCAAAACCTCATGATATTTTAAAACAAGGCCCTAAACTCGGAGGGTGCGGCTGGTGGGTTTTGGCACATGTGAGGATAGCCAGGGATTTTTGGATGGCCAAAGATCTGCTTATTCTTATTTGTACTGTCCTGCCCCAGAAAGTGCATCTATCTGTGCTGTTGGGAGGGAAGCACAGAGCCACCTCCGTGCCAGTTCTTTTCCCCTGTGGGTTCCCCAGGCCCATCTCCACATCTTCTGTGGTTGCTTCCCACATGCAACAGAGTGAACCACAAATGATCAGAAAGAGCAGACAAAACTGTGGGCTGGAAAAGCATCAGAGTCAGGGGCATCTACAGAAATACATATTGTATGTAACAGAAAACGAGGACTAGATGTGACAAATATTGTTTCTCCTTCATGAGGCCATTAGGCACATACTCCTACAGCTCTCGTTTTTTCACTAAAGGTTTGACTTTGCAACTGAGAGAACTCTGACCCAGATCATTCACATATTTTAGGGATAATCTTGACTTCAACTGTGTGACAAACCTGCACTAAAGTCTGTCATGTGGTTGGCTGGATCAGGGCTTGGATGTTGAGCACCGCACTGGATTAAAGCCTAACCCTGAACACCAGGAATTTTGGTGTTCAGAGAACACAGACCCAAAGGAGGCCAGGAAGGGTGGATTGAAAAGGTATCTTCATGTGAAAGTTCATTGCTAGCAGTGTAGTCAGGTTTAGAGGGGTAGACTGGATCACCTCTGCTTCCTTTCACAAATATTCCCCAGAAGCCAGTGCCCTGATTTGTTTGCTGGATCCCAGACCAGAGAACAAGCATGGTATTTTGCATTGTAAAAACATCCCGGGCTGACAGGTACATCTCAAATGCTGCAAACTGTCACTGCACCTCAGAGGCAAATCCTAATCACGGCTGTACTTGGGAGATAAAAGAGCTCCTTGGAAAATTCTGCAAACTCTTACACAACTGCAAAGAGCAATAAGCCTTCATCAGAAAGTCACGTTTACTTATAGCTCTACAAGCTGATTGACAAATTTGCCAAACAGGTGGCCCCAGCAGCTACTTCCCTCAACAGCTTTGAACTCCTTGTGGAACGCATTACTTAGGCCAGGCTTCGAAGCAGGTGCCAAGAGCTCCCACAGACTAGGAGATAAGTCTGGCAGGGACCATGCCAATCTTCCTGTTCCTCCCCAGCACTGCTCCCTCTGCAGCTGTCCCTGAAGTCCTGTCCCCTCCAAAGGCCAACAGAGAAGAACTCTGCTGGTCAACCCTCATCACCAAATTGGCCCAGCTCTGTCGTCTTTCTTTTTGGGTGCAAATCACTAAAGGGTAGGAAGGGAAGAAGTAACACACCCTGAAAACTAAGAACAGGATTTGTTCATCATTAATTTTCTCATACGATTCTGATAGCGTTTATTATAATTATAAAACCTGAATAACATTTATCTTCTTGCTTTATTCACTAAGACTGCATTAGACATAGCAGTGCTTCTATATGCCCTGTAAGAAAATGTAATAAAGTGCTGATGTACAACACACAGGCTCCAAACATATAAAGAATTTCAATAACACTGAACTATTAAGCAGATTTAGCTACAAGTACAATTCAACTCAAAAAAAGAGAAAAAGATTAAGACAACACTATGTATAAAATAGTTAAATAAAAACATATAAACACATTCAGATTCACCCTGTAAATATAAAAAACATCACTGCTCTGGGAACAGAAACTGTCACACCGCATGTGGGAAGGATTTTGGATTACAGCTTATGCTTATATTACATAAGTCACACCTTTTTGTATCTTGATCTTTACATGCATATGATCACATCAATCCCCAATGCAATTCCACTGCCTTTTAATGATGATACACGAGTGATGAATCTGTGTCACAGTTAATGCTACCGTAGAAAACTCAGGTTATGAATTTCATTACTTATGCACTAAATTCTGACTTGATGGCTGCATTATTTAGGAGCTCCCAACAGGGGACAGTATGTAAGCTCTCTTGCCCTGTGAGAAATTCTGGAATTCAAAAAACCTTAAAAAAAAAAAAACCAACAACAAATAAAGTGGTGGTGTGGGGAAAGAGAACAAAAAAAGAGGTATCTTGATATGTGAGGAAGCCAGGTCTCAGCGTTGCTTGGATGGCTGAGCAACACATACCCACACCTGAGCACGTCTGCTCCAATCCATCTTCCTGTGACAGCTTCCCTGTCCCCTCAGCACACACGCCAGGACTTGCACTTCCACACCCAGAAACCTCCAGGCAGCAGCGGCAGGGTTCGCAGGCTGGCGGAGGCACTTTTGGCTGCCTTAGGTTTAAGGACAAGCCCCTATCTTCAAACGTCCAGCTCCCTAACCTGATGGTAGAGAGGCAAACATCATCTCTTGCCCCATTCAATCTGTTCTCCTCAGCCCAGGTTTGCCACTTTTTCCTTAGCCTCAGATAGACTTTTCCTCTTCTGCTTGAAGCGATGGGCTTCAAAGCAAAAGTTGCAGGAAGGACGCATGTGTTTTTCAAGGAAAGCAGGACCTGCTGTAGATGAAACTAAGTATAGGAAAGACACAAATGGCTTCTCTCTGAGGACCTCAGTGCTCTCATTTAGTAACCACACAGCAATTCTCCTTGCTTGAGCAGGATCATTTCAAGCATGTCATAATGCAGAGAATTGGCCAATCTTAAACACAAGCCCCTCAGGTCCACAAAACTCAGCTACTGCTTGGCCTAAGAAGGTCTGGGATCTAGCTCAAGAGATTTGGACAGTTTCTAGATAATCAAGTAAAATCATGGAATAGCCAGTGTTTGTACATTCCTTTGTCAAAGGTGGCACAAACATGTCCAGTGGAGAAGAACCTGCTGCTTGCAATGCAATTTTTCCAATTACTTGCATACCCTGTGTTTCCCCAGACACCCAAAAGATAGACAGACAGAACCTTTCATATATTATAATGATTAATCAGCTATAAATTCATGACTTGAAACGCTATCACTGCAATTTTGCCTCTCTGAGATCTCCGTGACCTTTGAAGAGTTCTGTGTACTAGTTAACTGGTTTTGTTCCTGTAGCAACAACTACTAGTGCTTCCAGTTAGTTCACATTCCTGTAAAACCACACTTCTCTTGTCCCCAAATATTTTGGAAGTTACTCGTTAAGCTAACAAACCTCAAAAGCACCATAAAGCACACAGAGCAAGTCAGTAATTGCACAGCGCGGGGCGCAAGGTAGGTTTGCAGAAAGACTCCTTTTGTTTGCAAACCCCCATGAGAAGAGAAATGGGAGGTGAACTGAGGCAGGAACGCTGCAGACCTGCCAGTTCTCTCCCTTCTGGGCAGAGGCTGGCTCTCCCAGGGGACAGTATGTAAGGGCCATCCGTCCCTTACTGAACACCAGGCAGCCCGGGCAGGCAAAGGGTGCCGCGCACGGCAGTGGGGCCAAAGCTCAGCACTGCAGCCGGGGATTCCAGGAGCACCAAGCTGTTTGCTAGGGTGGAAACCCACAAGCCTTGCAAGGCTCCTTCACACTCTGCCTTCTCCAGTTCCAGAAGCAGCTGCTAAAAAATTTCTAATTCTGCACAAGTTAGCAGCTGTGCACAGTTTTAGTCAAATGTGCAAAACGCTTACCTATTGCCGAAGTCAAGTTTGCTCCATCAGGATAAATGCCCCACATGTACCACGCATTACTCTTCAATAAACTGGTTAAAGGTATTGAATAGCAGTCCATAAGGACATCTTTCCCACCATGGAAAACCTCAAAACAAGCGAGACTTAGCAACCTTGATATTGCTCTGCTGCTGAACTAGGCTCTCTGACCCCACGGTCAAAGCCAGCACCCAGCTGCACATCCCAGGCAGCTCCCAAGCCCAGGAGTTGATGGCAGCAGGCACAGAAATGGGAAAATTCAAAGAGGCTGATTTTCCCATCTCCAGTG